GGGGGGGGGGGGGGGGGGGGAGGAGGTTACACCCCAACCAACAAGAATTTAGTATCCAGAAAAAAGTCTGTATTTCTGTTCAATTCCTACTTACAACACATAAGGATTAGTACATCTGTGGGTCATCTCTAGATGCACAATAATGCTATCTTACACTATTTTCATTTCGCCAGTTTTGATGTAGGTAGGTTAGTAGATGTTTTATTCAATGTTAAAGGCCAATGGTCTACATCAAATAAGACATACACATTTCACAGAGAGACTTTCATAAAAACAACAATAACTATAAGTAACACAAATATCAATAACATTATAAAAAAACGTTTGATTTTAATATAAAAGTATATCCCTTTGCAAGCATTCGAATCAAGCCCAAAAAATATACATGTTTTTGCAAAATGTACGGGAATTCTAAGGGAACGTTAACATATATAATAATCATTTGGAGCTAAATGGTGAATAATTCATAATTTTGAGCTAAAATAACATAAGCTGTGATAATTTTTAGCTGAAAGGGGCGTAAACTGTAATGATTTTGAGGTGAAAATGAGAGGTTTTACAACAGCTTCGGTAGCTACTGGAGTTTGTACAAAACAAGTAACGGTTCATGATTTACAGTATCATTTTGTTTACCTAGAAAGACTTGGATAGATGGAGCAAGGGAAAAAATAACAACTCACGACTTCCCCCTGAACCAAGCTCTCCGGCTGGTGGCAGAGAGACGTCTCTTTCTTCCCGCGACACCCAAAAGGGTATAAGCGGCGGATAAAAGTAAAGTAAGATTGATTTTTTGGAACATAGTGAAGTTTTAACTTTAAATATGAATAGTATTTCGTAAAAACCATATTTGATTATTAAATCGTAATTCAAATGAAAGTTAGAGACCTATACGTTCTTGTACCGTCTATTTTGGAGACTCAGCAGCCACCGTCGTCCACGACACTCCCTTGAAACAACAGATAACAAACGTGAAAAAGAGCAGGCTACCTTCGTAGCTGTACTTACAAGCGCACGGGCTCTAGTAAATTCGGAAACAGCACAGACGCTTTGGTACACCAGCCCATATATTATTATTCATTCCCTCACACATCTGCGCTTACA